AAATTTCATAACAAATCTAAACATTTCGAAGCATTTTTGTCAAATGAGCGTTGGATTCGACTAAAGCAGTTACCTGAGTTGATCTGATATAAAAAATTAAATTCTATTGAAGTATTTGGTGAGAATTTCGGTCAAAAACTAACAACAACAAGTGCTACACATTTATCATGGATTGTTTATATACGAGAAGCGCTAGCGCTACTCGTAGATAAACTTGTTGTGTTCGCAATGACCGGTTTTGGACGGTTCTTTATTCTCTCTTAATCGCGCACATTTCTGAATGTTTTAAAAAAATTAGAGAATTTCCTTAGGCGTTTAATTTTTTTTAAGTTTCAAAATTTTTTTATAAATTCAGTTTCTCCACACTACGTTTCTGTTACCTCATTTGTTAGAGAAAGAAAGTAATTACAGTGATATCTCGATTTTCCGAGACTGGTGCAGTAGATACACATATTATCTTCAAATGCTTGGTTTTTAATAGTTTATAATATAAAAGAGAATTATTATAGGTATGAAACATTATTAATATGGATTATTTCTGAAATTTAAGGTTAGCTGAATTCACATTGGAGCTAAGAATTTATCAAACAGATGCTTAAAGTATTTTTTTTTATTGTATGATAAATGAATAACAAAAATAAAAACTTCATTTCAACATAAAATTAGGTAATAGTTAGTAATAGTTAAGTAATAGTAATAGTTAGGTAATAATTTGGTAATTAGGTAATAGTTAATTTGGCTGGAATCTTATTTATAATGTTATTTTGTACAATGTGATTTTTTACAGAATGTGATAAAAATTATGACTATTTATAACTTCTTTACTTTGTTTTTTTTTTACATTTGTCTTAATATTCTATATACTATTCTATATAATAATATATTGACTTTGATAAAATGCAATGAGCCGATTTTTTGCTTTTGGTATAATTTGGTATACAATTTTGATTTTGTTAATTATTCTTCATCAACTAATATATTGAGTTTTAAAAAAAGTATAAGTTATCAAATTTTTTATACCGTCAGAACTATTTTATATATTTAAAAAGTCTTGGTGGTACGATATAATAACTTCTATCTTCTATTCTATTATTCGAGTAATAATACTCGAAGCTATTATAATTAAAATTCAATTGCATGCATATTATTACATTTATAGAAAGCATGCGGACTATTTTATAAATACATATGCTATATACTCGTAAAACTAAATTTTTTTTGAAGTTGAAATTCAAATACGATATATCATCGGATATTACTTTACGGAAGGATAGCAATTAAGTAAGAAAATTATGTCGTTATGCTGTAGAGACATACAGTATTCCATTTCTTTCAATTAGCGACAAAAGTGATAAAATAGTTTCTTTGATGGGTTATTGAATATTGAATATCTTTGTTATTCAGTATAAACTTGAGATTAAAATAAAAATTAAAAAAAACAACATATATATATGATATAATGCACAACTGAATATCAGTTTTTTTTATTATATTATCGGAATAAATTTGCAAACGTTTTTGAGCTGTCAATCCAGAATTATCAACATATATTTAATTTCTAATACCCCGAAAACGGAAAAAAGATCACATATAAAAATTAATACTAAGTAAGGAAAATTTTTAAAAGAAGTTAACCATAGTGTTCATAACTTCAAATTAATTTTCCTTAAGCGAAAAAAGTTTAAATTGTCTTTAATCTATGTTTTCTATAATAACCGATAATCGGTAAGCAACTCATTATCAGCTGGAATGAGTTGCGATATTTTACACCATAGCAACATATGAATTTAGTGTCCACATATAAACAAAGAACAGACCTTCTATGACTAGTAGATGTCTGATACTTGTTCCTATGATAATGCATAATTATAAAGAAAACTTTATCGGTAACACTGAAAAAAATTCTTTTCTAATAAATAAATACAATAGAATGATTTCCATTCTAATAAAATTTTTATTTAGGTATTAAATTGATTTCTTTACAATTTATAAGAGTAAGAGTATAAGAGAATCTTATTTTGATTGAAAATAATATGTAGAATATACTGCATGTTATAAAAAAAATTATGAGACAGTAAATTTAATTTTAATGGGGAAAAAGATTTATATAATATATTTATAAGGCAAGAGAACAATTTTAAATTTTTTTAATGTTAAAATTTTAAAAATTTTGATTGTTATATGTAAACAACTAATATATGCGTTGGAGAAAAAACTGATGTGTGATGTGATGACTTTAGTGAGTTTCATAAAGATTATAAAATATACACGTAAATAGATCACATCCTTATTTAAAAGTTGTATTAAAATAATCTTTCATAAAATGTGGAGTGAAACGTCGGAAACATCATAAAATCAATCTTTAAACATTTTGTACTAGTTTAGACAAATATAGATTTATATTTGTATTTATATAAATCTATATATATAGATTTATATTATATAGAATATATTCAACTAAAATTCTATAGAATTATTATTATAATTTTACATTAATGGCGCAAATTTGATGTAATTTTTCCTTCATAACTGACGGATTTGTATTTTATTCTTTCAGTCTAATTTTTTTCAATCTTCAATCTGATGAATATTTGGCTTTATATGAAATAATTATTCAAATAGTCAAAAATCTCTTTTTGAAATGTAATCATAACATTTTATCTAAGTTTTGGGATAAAAATTAATATAAACCGATTTTCGTTTTCACTATTTAAAAAAACCTAACAAACGTACGAAATATTTGTTTCTTAAATACACGCTATATATTTTATCAATTAGTTAAAAAGAATCTTGAGATCCAATTTGATATGATATAAAAGTATGATATGGCATGATATGATTTAACTATAGTTAAATCACAGAGAACTTATAACTAGTTGTCCAATGTTAAATAAAAAAAAACTACCTAAAATTTTTCTGTGGGTAAATCTAAACACTTACTTACTTACTTAGTTGGCCATTACAGACGTGTGTCGTCCTTGGCCACGTCGAGTAGCCTCCGCCGGTCAGCCCGATTAGTTGCTTTCTGACGCCAGTTGGTAGTACCGAGCGCCCCCAAATCGTTGGTCACCAGGTCCTTTCACCGAAGATGCGGACGTCCTCTACCGCGTTTTCCACCTGCGGGTACCGAATCAAATACCTTTCTAGCCGGAGCACTTTCTTCCATTCGCACGATATGACCAAGCCAGCGTAGCCGCTGAGAGGGAAGTAAAATGAAATGAAAGATATGAGCTAGAAAAATTGATATCGTTTCGGTAAAACACTTTTATTCGTAAAGTTGCTCATTAAAATAATGTACATCAATTGTAATTATTCGGAAGGATTTCTAAATCAGTTTAATTTTTAATACGGTTCAGTTTTTTTATACGGCTACACTTTAGAAGTTTATTTATTATCAAAAAACTGATAGCATGTGTACATATTTACAACTTACTTAATTGAATATAACAACTTGTTTTCAGGTGATGGCCTTATTTAGTTTAGTTCTATTCTTCAGACCCCTACATATTAAGTGTGGTTAATGCTCTCCAAACTTGATTACTCTACGGAAGGCACTGTCTGCGCTTCGTCATTTAACTGTCGCCTTAACCCCTTTTTCAGAATCTTACTGACGAACGGATATAGGATGAGCGAACAAAGAAGGTTTTTTTAGGTGGGTAGAAGTCTTTTCATTCCAATTTTATTAATGTCCCTATAGTAGTATCTATTAGCAGTGATAATTATTTTAAGTTCTTAATTATAGTAGTAGTAATTATAGTTGTCGGCTTTGAAATTTTATGGATTAAGAATCAACATGCAAAGCGTGCAGCTTGGTGGTTTGGTGTGTAATATATTATAGTATAATCACATAAAATTACATGTGTAAATATTTCACATCACTACTAAAAAAAATTGTATACATAAAATTTTGTTGACTTGCAGTTTATTTAATTTTTTTTTAAATTTGTTTCCAAAATTAATCCTCTTACTATTTCAAATATTAAATTTTAATTAATCTAGTAAAAAATTAGAACTAATGAAAAAATTTGTTAATATTTGTATCTCTTATTTTAAATAATACATTTGGCGAGCATGTGTCACCGGGGGATGTAGCTCAGATGGTAGAGCGCTCGCTTAGCATGTGAGAGGTACGGGGATCGATGCCCCGCATCTCCAGTTTTTTTTTTCAAATATAATTTTAATTATTTTTTTTTTCAAATAAGGGGATTTTCTATATCCTATATTTACTATATCTCCAGTTTTTTTTTTTCAAATATAATTTTAATTATTTTTTTTTCAAATAATAAGGGGATTTTCTATATCCTATATTTACTATATTTTATAATAAAGAGAGTTCAAATATATATAATTGATTATGATTTGAACGCTGTAATAATATACTTAATATAGTGTGTACTACGTATATATATATCAAAACGGTTTTTTTAAGAATTGGAGTAGAATGTGTATACTGACCATACGTGAGCATATATTAGATAAATTTAATAACAACTATTGAATAAACTAAACGACAAATAAATTTTAATTCTGACAAAAGCTTCATAATAGCAAAAAAATTCTTTTCATTCAATTGAAGCTAAAAATATATTTTAAAATAAACTTTTAACGATGTGTTTGAAAACTAATAAATTGATTATAATTAAATTAAATTAATTAATGTTTGAATGTAATTGACGTTTTTAGTATATGTTATATGCATATATAATATTAAGGAGCAACTGAAAGTTTAGTTTAGATTTCGATATGCATATAGAATTAATATTAAATATTGGGAGCAAAAACAGTGTATTTTATCACTGCTGAGATGAAAGTAATTTTTTTTCATCTTATTTATTTCTTACTTGATCGAAAATGAAAACTTTGAAATATATAAATAATACTTAACGCTGTATATGAATGTAAGAGTTACTTACCCTTATCAGTTACCACTAGCTTAGCAATAAAAGAAATTGAATATAATTTAAATAAAAATTTATTTTCATCTAATAATCTATGAATTATATAAAAATTATCATAACACACAAATAAACTAAATTTATTGCCTTTTCAACTTTTTGTCTTTTTTGAACACAAGTTGACACATTGTGCGCAGCACAAATCGAATTAAAAGTACAACTAATACTAGCAACAACAATATACCTCCATATAATATGATCATTACATCAATATTATGATATTCTATAAAATTCAGATCTAACCCTGCACAATGCAAATATTTGCCATCATGACGTGCGATATGCTCCATCCAATGTACGGCTAAATCGAGTGGTTCAATTGGTTGATCCTTGTATCTAGCGGACATGTCACGAACTTTTTTCGTATAACTCGGATTCTCTAAAATGCGTTTTATGCCACTTGTAAATGCATCAACTGTGAGATTTTTATAGTCTAACATCACACCGAAACCATTTTGCTCAGCTCTCGCCATATTCAAAAACTGATCAGCAAATACTGGTATCCCAACTACTGGCTTACCATGATAAATGGATTCCATAGTGCTAAGTAAACCGCCATGTGTGATAAAAAGACGTACATTTTTATGAGCCAAAATATCATCTTGTGGATACCAGTCTTTGATGAAAACATTATCTGGCTTGTCTGCTAATTTTGAATCTTCAAACTTCCATAAAACGCGTTGTTTAATTCCGCGGAAAGTTTCCAGTATTGCCTTGCGTTTTTCCATTGGTAAATTTTTGCTTTGGAGATTTGAGCCCATAGAAAAATATATCACACCATGTTCAGCTTCATCAATAAATTTCTGTATATCCTCTGGCAAAGGAGTGCGTTTGCGATTAATATGTAATCCACCTACTTCAATTTGGTTCGGCATATATGGACGTGGTGCGCTTAGGGAGACATGCTGATTGACAAATACCGCTGCAGCGTTTTTGCGAACTTCGTACATATTGCGTTTGTTTTGTGGAAAATGCCTATTGTAAAGTTCTGCTTGTTTGGGAAGGTAATAGAAGTCGATAAGAGCGCGCTCAAATGTCAAATATCCTTGGTTTGCTATACGTTGGAGTAGTGTCATGCGATCGCCGAATGGCAGCATGGCATTGGGTACATATGAAGGCGGTGATGGTGACCCAACCTATTTAATTAAAAGTTATTTTAATATTAATAAAAACGTTTTTTGTAGTTTGAATTACCATATCCGTATTCCAAGCAATTGCACCGAACGAGCTAAAAGCCACCATTGGCGCATTGAAGTGTTCAGCCAGGCCATATAGTGCCTCGCTAAGAAACACTTCAATCAACGTAATATCAAAAGTTTGATTGCTAAGCAGTAACTTCTGTACACCTGGTTCTTGCAATACAGCTTCAGTGACTTTAAGTCCCATCCCATGGAAGTTAATTATATTTTGCACTATATTACGATTGACTGTGTTTAGTAAATCATCTTTGCTCACTAAATATAAAAAATAATACGGATTATATACTATGTTTTTATTGTATATATATCTATTGTTTACCTTGCAAAACTTTTACTGCATTTGGTATTGGTATTTCATCATAATTATCCATTGGCTGTTTGAGTGGATATGGTGTAATGACGGTGACCTTATGTCCTTTACGTGCCAATGCCTGCAATATTTTTGCCCCTATAATGTAGTGTGAATGTGCACCAAAGGGCAAAACGCCTAGTATATTTAACGCTTCAGTACTGGTTTGCAGGCAAATGTTTGCAATTACCGCAATGGCAAATATTTTCATTAGAATTCCTGCCATTTTTACGCTGCAAGAGGAAATTATTTAATAACTATTTTACGTGTCTACTTTAACACGATTTGAATATAACTGAGCGGTATTAGCATATAAACATACTGAATTTATATCAGTTCAGCAACAGTTTATAAACAAATCTCAAAAATGATCAAGCACTTTTAGTAACAACAGAAGTTCACGTAACTGATAAGAAACATAAACACTTATTATCGATTACTCATTGTTTCTTATATATAATTATAGAGATTAAACTAAATCCATTGTATATATGTATTTATTACATTTTTGTTTTTCTTTTAATATATTTGATTGATTATAGTTTGGAAATGCTTGAATAGTGCCAAGTAAAAGTATGTGAATGTGTAATGTTAATAGCATTTCAAATAGATAAGAAAGACAGAGCGAGAATGAAAATGAGGTAATAAGAGAGAGAGAGAGAGAGAGAGAGAGAGAGAGATAGAGATAGAGATAGAGAGAGAGAGAGAGAAAGAGAGAGATGGAGAAAAAAGAAAAAGGAGAGAAAGCAAGAGAGAGAAAGAAAGAAAGAGGAAAAAGAGATGAAGAGAGGTGATATAGTGGCAGAGAGATTAAATACAAGAGACATAATATTATTCTCAGTTGCCTTGTGTAAAAATTTCTTACATAAATTCAATAGTATTATTATTATAATTTCTATGTGCAACGGACAAAGAATCTTTTTTAAACTAAAAATGGAGTCACAGAGGCTTTGAACTCTATACAATCAAATATCATCAAGCGATTCCACTAATTAGATAGATAGATTAATACATATATATATATTTTTCTAACAGCTCAGAATAACTTTTTTCAATCCAGAATTCTACCATTTGAAATAAACTTGTTTAAAAATACAGTTCTTATGTTTCAATATAAGCAAATGCTTTACAAATGTGTTTCTATATAAATAACAATGTTAAAATATTAAATTTGAGTTTTGAGTATTAAAAAAATCAATAATTATTGCTACAAACTATAACTATCTGCTTAATACTTAATGTAATTGTCTATACATACAAAATAAATTTCTATTCTGCAACATATATATAAGTAAAATATATAAGTAAAATGTGTATATAAATTAAGTTTAGTTAATTACTTTTTCTCCGATTTTTCTGCTTCATTTTCTTCCTTTTATTTTAGTGCTATTTAACGTTCGCCGGTATTTTTAACTTCGTGAATTTTTCTCTTTTTCATTTTTAATGATTTTTGTTGGATCTGAGTAAATTTTTGATTTATATATTTAAGCTTTAATTTATGTTTTATAGACATTAAGTCAATATTTTATATTATATAGGCCTTGTTATACAGGCAATTACAGTCACATCAAATGTGAAATTGTGAAATAAATTATGTCACGATGACGAGGTGTTCTATCCTGACCTATTAGATTGGGTCTTTTTAGGAGTAACGTGACTACATCTACACAAAAATTTTGCATTATTTTTTAAATTTAAGCATAGTCAGTATTATAATATTATATAAGTATTATTGAATAAAGTATTCGTGTTGCTGTAAAGCTAGACTTTCTTTGTATAGTGACAAAGAAGCTTTATTAAAATTTAGAGGGGTTTTGAATAACAAAGAAAGAAATAAAGGACAAACACAAAAATTTATTTTAATTTTATTGAAGTTTTGGCTGACCATACAACGCTGTTTCGAGTATTGCCAAGTACTCTTCATCAGTGGTCTTTGGAAATAATCGAATTTTATTTAATTAGTTTATAGTCCGTATATAATTTGTTTGGACTGCAAGTGCCAGGCTTAGAACTCGTGCCTGTCAAATTAAAAGCGATAACTAATCGTGTTTATCCACAAGAAGCCAAGGCTGCACAAACTTTCAATGCTCAAGTTCCAGGTTTTATTGTCACTTATTTTTATTTTAATTAGCATTGATTAAAAACAGTATTAAAAACAGTATTAAAAACAGTTTAAACCATTTTAAAAATGTTTCAGGTTTAGAATTAAATTCTCGAATAATTTGCAGACTGTTACAGTTTTTTAGAAAAAAAAAAATTGTAATTAAATATATATGTGTATGATATATAATTTATCATTTAAAAAAAAATGTCATAAAATAAATCATTAATTATATAAAAATTTAATTAAAAGAGGGGATAAATAGTGCAAATGCAGTTGTCATTGAAACCAAAATTTATATCAGTTATAGGCCTTTGGATAACACGCAAGTACGGCAAAAAACAGCGAGTTGCTGGTCTACACTGGCCGAAATGTATGCAAAACAACAACACTATTTTCTCTATATCGGCCAGTATAGGTATACTGGCCACACATATCGGCCAGTAAAAAAAAAGTGTTACCAACGGTATATGCAAACTATTGTGAATCTTCATTAGAAATTCCAACGAACATTGCAATCATATGTCAAAAATTATATGTAAATATAAATTCAAACAGAATTCAAAAATTTCATAAATTTGAAAATTGGATAAAAAGAAAAATTTAATTTATGGTAATTACTTAATTTTATACAAAATATAATTTGCTCGAATTATGCTATTTTTGCTATTCATCAAAACATAACACTTGACAGATTGCAATAGTGATGCCAATGGCTCGCGTGGCCAATATAGACCATGCACTTTTTGCCATACTTGCAAGCCACCGAAAAGACTTTATATTGATTTTCCTATTTAATAAATAATTTATATTAAAGAATGTGATCAATACAATTAAAATTAAAAAAAACTATTAAAAAATTATTTCGAAACCCACTAGAATAATAATGTAATTCTTTGCAGAATTTGTAAAAAATTTAAATTAATGAATTTATAATTCTTAAATGGCTCTTTTGAGCTTAACAGTAATTTTTTTAATGCACAGAAATAAGCTTTACCGTATAATTCACATGAAAATGAATAAAACTTAAATAAATTTTCAACACCACATAAAACCGCATATGTGAATGAAAAAAAAAACCAAAAAAAATGAAGAGCAAAAAAAGCAAAAAGTAAACTGTAAAATGCGAAGTAATAAAAATAAAAAATTCATAATTTATACGCAATTTGCAATTTGTAAATATTAATGTGCGCCTGCGCCCTTAGCCACTGAAACCAATCCAAATAAAACCGAACCAAACAAAAAAGAAAAAAATTACCACAAAGACTGACAACTTAACACAGCCAAAAGCAACACTAAAAGTAAAGTTAAATAAAAGCAAAAGGATAAAAGGCTAAAGGACCGTAGAACTAAGGAATTGCATAGGCTTGGTAGGAAGGATGGCAACAAAAAGTCTCATTGTGTATATCTGAATAATTTATGTTGGCAGCGCGCACTTTAACGCTAAATAAACACACAAGCAATAATGAAAAGAGAGGGGGGACGAAACAAAAAGTTACAAATAAAGCAAAACAAATGTGAAATTTAATTTTAAAAAAAACTTTTCACAGAACAAAAGCGAACTGATTGTGTGCTTTCCACACACGCTCACATAAGCATGTGTAAATACGTGCAAAAATGCTTACATCCTTTTTTTGAGGATATTAATATGTAAAAATGTTAATGCAAGAAAAGAACAACAATTTATTTAGAAGAATATTAAGCCAAAGAACCACAAGAACAGAAACAATGAGCTTAGTTCATCAACCTCTTATTAAGTTAAAGCCCCTGTATACTACATTATTATGAAAAATGTTTAACAAATGATGAAAGAAATTTTGCGCTCTACAATCCATTAGCTGCAACTGATTTCTTCAATTTATTATTTATTATAATTTATTAAATTATTTATTCAATTATTATTTAGATAAAATTAGTATTAGAAAGGCCAGATCCCGGGATTCTGGCATGTCGGGACTACTTAAAGTGAACAATTCGAGAATTATTTGTTTAAACTGATTCATACAAACATTAAATTTTCAAATGTTAATTTTTTTAATTTTTTTATGATGAAAAGAAACTATTTATAAGTTAGAAGCGTTCGAACAGTAATGAAGAAACAACAACAAAAATTTTAATTAATTTATTGAAATTTGGTTGACCATACAATTCTGTTTCGAGTATTACCGAGTACTTATCTTCACTGATCTTACGAAATATTCGAATTTTTATTTAATTAGTTAATAGTCCGTATATAATATGTTGGACTGCAAGTGCCAGGCTTAGAACTCGTACCTGCCAAATAAGGAAAGATGACTAATCGTGTTTTTCTACAAGTAGCCAATGCTGCACAAACTTTCAATGTTCAAGTTACAAGTTTTTTGTGACTTTATACGTAAGTGACACTAACTAAAGCACTTCCTATGTTATTTAAATTAGAACGAGCTTATAACCTATAGCTACATTTGGAAAGACAAGACAAGTTCATTTTGGGGGACTAAATATTCTGATGAGAGGATGGAACTGTTGTGTCCAAAGTACATATGTATAGTCTTTAATATATATTGTGTATAGGATTTAAGAGGATGAATATAAGAAAATTTTTGATGCACTATAATATATAAAAAAGTTTTTGTTATTACGGAAATAATATAATTGGTTATCTCTATTTAAATAAATACATTCACATTATAATGGCTGCGATAAAGGTTTATATTTACAAAGCGAATATAATTTTCTTTCAACTATTCAACTGAAAGTATTAAAGTGGAAAGGTTTTTTTTCTGCAGGCTACATGTGTTTTTTTCTGGTTTCGATCCCAATTGAAGATATCCAGATAGCCAGCCTTTATAATTTTAAGGTCTCATTTTAAAATCATAAATTTTTTTTTGTGTATTTAGAAATAAAATAAAATAAGGTGAATTAAAAGACACTGTATACCATAAGTTTTATTTATCTTCCCGGGATTGATTTTGGGACTCCAAAAGAATAGCGTGCAGATAATCCCACATGGAACAAATTTGACTGGTTAGGGAGAGTTGGTCTAATTCTGTTTATGAGCAATACAAAATTACAATAATTTATCCATGTTAGTTCTAACAAATCTACATTTTTATTAAAAGACATATACAGACTATGTGAATTTAATAGTTTCTTTGGTGAAAATTGGATATCAGCTTTTAGTTGTAATGCGTTATGCTAATAGTTTCCTTAATCTGACAAGAACAGAAAATGGAACCCTTGGCCGAAAAATAAAAAAATTTTCAATCAGGATGAGAGTAGGCTAGAAAGGACTGTAGCCCACAAAAGTTTGAGAAATATTGTTTTATACGGTTCTTATGTATAAGCCTTTATATGATAAAATAAATTAATTTTATTTTTATTCAAATTTTACAAGTTTTAATACAAAGTTAATTAAATTGTATTTTTTACGATAAAGTATATACATTTATAATTACAGACGTTTAATTTACTTCATTAGAAATATATATTGATAAATTTAATATATATCAAGATGTATGTAATAAGTCATTAAGGAAAGTTTTGCAGAACGGAACCATGTAATTAAATGATCGTAATAACAATATTTAAACTAATCGGAAACATTTTTTTAAGTAATGTATGGTACAATTAAATTAGCTTAAATTTGAATTGTTGCTGACCACTTCTATTGCAAATTATAGTTTGAAGAATATGCTATTCTTCAAATAATAATATGTATATTATTAATATTACAAATACGTAGTACTACCGCTCTGCGATAACCTTAAGGTTAAATGCATTTACATGTTAATTAAAGAAAACACAAATTGTTAACAAATAATAAAGTTCCTCTTATAAAAACTCAGATACCTTGCAAAGTAGTTGTATATTATTAAAAAGCGATGAGTTTGGGCGTTACAGTATACTAATATATTAATATTAATCTATAGATTAATAAGGGCTTAATAAGTACGAAATTAATATTGTGTAGCCAAAATTAAAGTCTCTATTGGGCACCGCAAGATATTCAGTGTAGTCTCAGCGGAAGTCTATATCGGAAGACCACTACTTATTAAGAAGTATGATGTCGTTTGTTTTGTGCAAATCAGGGGTATGAGTGTTAAGTATTCATAAAAAAATACTCCCCTTTTACAATGTTTTATTCTTATAAATCTGAAATTGGCGGCTACCTTGATGACATAATGGTAAAAAGACAAAGGACAGTGTTAGACGAGTTTATTTTATCTGGGTACGCCAAAATGGAATTGTATTAACTTAATAGAACCTTTAATGGATCAAACATTTTTATAAATTTAAGTACCCTTTATATTTTTGCTCTACATACTGCTCTACATTTGCTCT